CACCATCACCACCATTACCACCATCACCACCATCATCACCACCACCACCATCACCACCACCACCATCACCATCATCATCACCATCACCACCTCCACCACCATCACCACCACCTCCACCATCACCACCATCACCACCATCACCACCATCGCCATCATCATCAGCATCACCACCACCACCACCATCACCACCATCACCACCATCACCACCACCACCATCACCACCATCACCACCATCACTATCATCACCACCCCCCTACCATCACCACCACCACTACCATCACCAGCATCACCATCACCACCACCATCCCCAGCATCACCACCATCACCACCGTCACCACGATCACCATCACCACCATCACTATCATCCTCACCATCCCCGGCACCACCACCATCACCACCACCACCATCAACATCATCATCACCATCATCGGCACCACCACCATCACCACCAGCATCAACACCACCATCAACACCATCACCATCACCACCATCACCACCATCAGCACCACAACCATCACCACCATCACCACCATCACCATCACCACCACAACCACCACCACCATGACCACCACCAGCACCATCACCATGATCACCACCACCAGCATCACCACCATCACCACCATCAGCATCATCATCATCATCACCACCATCACTACCATCACCACCACCACCATCTCCATCATCAACACCATCACTACCATCACCACCACCACCATCACCACCATCACAAGCATCACCATCATCACCACCCATAGCATCACCATCACCACCACCATCACCACCATCACCATCACCACCACCAGTACCAGCATCACCACCATCACCATCATCACCATCATCATCACAATCAGACCATCACCACCATCACCATCAGCACCATCACCATCACCACCACCATCACCAGCATCACCAAAATCACCATCATCACCATCATCCTCACCATCACCACCATCACCACCATCACTACCATCACCACCATCACCACCACCACCACCATCACCACGATCACCAGCATCACAAGCATCATCATCATCACCATCATCATCACCATCACCATCATCACCACCATCACCACCATCACCATCACCACCACCAACACCATCAGCACCACCACCATCACCACCATCACAATCACCCCCACCACCACCATCACCACTACCACCACCACCACCACCACCATCACCATCACCATCACCACAACTACCACCACCATCACCACCATCACTATCATCATCACCATCACCACCACCACCACCATCACCACCATCACCACCACCACCATCACCGCCAAAACCATCAGTATCATCATCACCATCACTAGCACCACCACCATCACCACCACCACCATCACCACCATCACCACCACCACCACCATCACCACCATCACCACCACCATCATCACCACCATCACCACCATCACCATCACCACCACCACCACCATCACCACCATCACCATCACCACCACCACCACCATCACCACTATCACCACCATCACCACCATCACCACCACCTCCATCACCACCACCATCATCACCAACACCATCACCACCATCACCACCACCACCATGACCAAAACCACCACCATCACCAACATCACTACCCTCACCACCATCACCACCATCACCACCACCACCACCATCACCACCATCACCACCACCATCACCACCATCACCATCACCACCACCATCACCACCATCACCATCATCATCACCATTACCTCCATCACCACCATCACCACCACCACCACCATCACTACCACTGTCACCACCATTACCACCATCATCATCACCACCACCACCACCACCACCATCACCATCACCACCACCACCATCATCACCACCCTCACCACCATCACCACCACCACCATCACCACACCACCATCATCACCACCATCACCACCACCATCATCACCACCATCACCATCATCAGCACCATCAGCACCATCACCACCACCGGTACCACCACCATCACCACCACCACCACCATCACCACCATCAACACCATCACAGCATCACCACCATCACCACCATCACCACCATCATCACCACCACCATCACCACCACCACCATCACCACCATCACCATCATCATCACCATCATCACCACCATCACAACCACCACCACCATCACCATGACCACCACCATTACCACCATCACCTTCACCACCATCACCATCATCACCACCATCACCACCATCACCACCACCACCATCACCACACCACCATCATCACCACCATCACCACCACCATCATCACCACCATCACCACCATCACCACTATCACCACCACCATCATCACCACCATCACCACCATCACCACCATCACCACCACCACCATCACCACCAACAACACCATCACACCATCACCATCCTCATCACCATTACCACCAACACCACCATCACCACCACCACCGTCACCACCATCACCATCATCACCACCCCCACCATCACCATCACCACCATCACCACTATCACCATCACCACCACCACCATCATCACCACCATCACTACCATCACCACCACCACCATCACCACACCACCATCATCACCACCATCACCACCACCATCATCACCACCATTACCACCATCACCATCATCATCACCATCAGCACCATCACCACCACCGGTACCACCACCACCACCACCATCACCACTATCACCACCACCATCATCACCACCATCACCACCATCACCACTATCACCACCACCACCATCACCACCATCAACACCATCACACCATCACCATCCTCATCACCATTACCACCATCACCACCATCACCACCACCACCGTCACCACCATCACCATCATCACCACCTCCACCATCACCATCACCACCAGCACCACCATCACCATCACCACCACTATCACCAGCATCACCACCATCAACATCATCAGCATCATCAGTACCATCACCACCATCACCATCACCACCATCACCACCACCACCACCATCACCATCACCACCATCAAAACCATCACCACCGTCACCACCATCACCACCACCACCACCACCATCACCACCACCACCATCACCACCATCACCATCACCACCATCACCACCACCACCACCATCACCATCACCACCATCAAAACCATCACCACCCTCACCACCATTACCACCATCACCACCATCATCACCACCACCACCATCACCACCACCACCATCACCATCATCATCACCATCACCACCTCCACCACCATCACCACCACCTCCACCATCACCACCATCACCACCATCACCACCATCACCATCATCATCACCATCACCACCACCACCACCATCACCACCATCACCACCACCATCATCACCACCATCACCACCATCACCATCATCATCACCATCACCACCATCACTACCATCACCAACACCACCATCACCATCATCACCACCATGACCACCATCACCATTACCTCCATCACCACCATGACCACCATCACCACCACCATCCCCACTACCACCATCACCATCATCATCACCATCACCACCATCACTACCATCACCATCCCCACCATCACCACCATCACCACCATCACCATCACCACCACCGCCACCATCACCACCATCACCAACATCACCACCACCATCACCACCACCATCACCACCACCACCATCACCACCATCACCATCATCATCACCATCATCACCACCATCACCAGCATCACTACCCTCACCACCACCACCATACCCACCATCACCACCATCACCACCATCACCTTCACCACGATTACCATCACCACCACGATCACCAGCATCACCAAAATCACCATCATTACCATCATCATCACCATCACCACCATCGCCACCATCACCACCGCCATCATCACCACCATCACCACCATCACCATCATCATCACCATCACCATCATCACCACAATCAGCACTACGACCTTCACCACCATCCCCACCATCACCATCATCACCATCGCCACCATCACCCTCACCACCACCATCACCACCAACACCATCACCACCACCATCACCAGCATCACTACCATCACCATCATCACCATCATCATCACCATCACCACCATCAACACCATCACCATCACCACCATTAACAACACCACCACCATCACCAGCATCACCAAAATCACCATCATCACCATCATCATCACCATCACCACCATCACCACAATCACCACCATCACCACCACCACCACCACCATCACCACCATCACCAGCATCACCACCATCAGCATCATCACCATCATCATCACCATCACCACCATCACCATCACCACCATCACCACCATCACCACCATCACTATCACCACCACCAACACCATTACCACCATCACCACCACCAGCACTACCACCACCAACACCACCATCACCATCACCACCACCACCACCATCACCACTACCACCACCACCCCCATCACCATCAGCATCACCACCACCATCACCACCATCACCACCATCACAGCATCACCACCACCACCATCAGCACCACCATAACCACCACCACCACCATCACCACCCTCACCACCATCACCACCATCACCATCATCATCACCATCACCACCACCACCACCATCACCACCATCACCACCACCACCACCATCACCGCCACCACCATCACCACCACCATCACCACCACCACCATCCCCACCATCACCATCACCACCACCACCACCATCACCACCACCACCACCTTTACCACCATCACCACCATCAGCACCACCACCACCATGACCACCACCACCATCACCATCATCATCACCATCATCAACACCACCACCATCACCACCACCATCACCATCATCACCACGCCCACCATCACCATCACCACCATCACCACCATCACCACCACCACCACCATCACTACCACTATCACCACCATCACCACCATCATCACCACCACCACCACCACCATCACCACTATCACCATCACCATCACCATCAACACTACCACCACCATCACCACCATCAGCACCTCCACCTTTATCATCACCTTCACCATCACTACCACCATGATCACCATCACAATCATCATCACCATCACCACCAACACCACCAACACCATCACCACAATCACCTCCACCACCATCACCATCACCACCACCATCTCCCCCATCACCATCACCACCACCACCACCATCACCACCATCACCATCACCACCACCACCATCATCACCACCACCACCACCATCACCACCACCACCATCATCACCACCATCACTACCATCACCATCATCATCACCATCACATCATCAGCACCACCAGTACCACCACCATCACCACCACCACCACCATCACCACTATCACCACCACCATCATCACCACCATCACCACCATCACCACCATCACCACCACCACCATCACCACCATCAACACCATCACACCATCACCATCCTCATCACGATCACCATCATCGCCACCCCCACCATCACCATCACCACCATCACCACCATCACCATCACCACCACCATCACCAGCATCACCACCATCACCATCATCACCATCATCAGTACCATCACCACCATCACCATCACCACCATCACCACCACCACCACCATCACCACCACCACCATCAAAACCATCACCACCATCACCACCATCACCACCACCACCACCATCACCACCACCACCATCACCACCATCACCACCACCACCACCATCACCACCATCACCATCACCACCATCACCACCTTCACCACCATCACCACCATCACCACACTCACCACCATTACCACCATCACCACCATCATCACCACCACCACCATCACCACCACCACCATCACCTCCACCACCATCACCATCACCACCACCATCTCCCCCATCACCATCACCACCACCACCACCATCACCACCATCACCATCACCACCACCACCATCATCACCACCATCACCACCATCACCACCACCACCATCACCACCACCACCATCATCACCACCATCACCATCACCACCATCACCACCACCACCACCATCACCACCACCACCATCACCACCATCACCATCACCACCATCACCACCTTCACCACCATCACCACCATCACCACACTCACCACCATTACCACCATCACCACCATCATCACCACCACCACCATCACCACCACCACCATCACCTCCACCACCATCACCATCACCACCACCATCTCCCCCATCACCATCACCACCACCACCACCATCACCACCATCACCATCACCACCACCACCATCATCACCACCATCACCACCATCACCACCACCACCATCACCACCACCACCATCATCACCACCATCACCACCACCATCATCACCACCATCACCACCATCACCATCATCCTCACCATCAGCATCATCAGCACCACCAGAACCACCACCATCACCATCACCACCACCATCTCCCCCATCACCATCACCACCACCACCACCATCTCCCCCATCACCATCACCACCACCACCACCATCACCACCATCACCATCACCACCACCACCATCATCACCACCATCACCACCACCACCATCATCACCACCATCACCATCACCACCATCACCACCACCACCACCATCACCACCACCACCATCACCACCATCACCATCACCACCATCACCACCTTCACCAGCATCACCACCATCACCACACTCACCACCATTACCACCATCACCACCATCATCACCACCACCACCATCACCACCACCACCATCACCTCCACCACCATCACCATCACCCCCACCATCTCCCCCATCACCATCACCACCACCACCACCATCACCACCATCACCATCACCACCACCACCATCATCACCACCATCACCACCATCACCACCACCACCATCACCACCACCACCATCATCACCACCATCACCACCACCATCATCACCACCATCACCACCATCACCATCATCCTCACCATCAGCATCATCAGCACCACCAGTACCACCACCATCACCACCACCACCACCATCACCACCATCACCACCCCCACCATCACCATCACCACCATCACCACCCTCACCACCATTACCACCATCACCACCATCATCACCACCATCACCACCATCACCACCATCAGCACCACCACCATCAGCACCATCAACACCATCACACCATCACCATCCTCATCACCACCACCACCATCACCACCATCACCATCATCACCACCCCCTCCATCACCATCACCACCATCACCACCATCACCATCACCACCACCATCACCAGCATCACCACCATCACCATCATCACCATCATCAGTACCATCACCACCATCACCATCACCACCATCACCACCACCACCACCATCACCACCACCACCATTAAAACCATCACCACCATCACCACCATCTCCACCACCACCACCATCACCACCACCACCATCACCACCATCACCATCATCATCACCATTACCTCCATCACCAAAATCACCACCAACACCACCACCAACATCAAAACCGCCACCACCATCACCACCATCACCACCACCATCATTACCACCATCAGCACCACCATCATCACCACCATCACCACCATCACCATCATCATCACCATCACCACCATCACTACCATCACCACCTCCACCATCACCACCATCACCTCCATCACCATCATCACCACCCCCACCATCACCATCACCACCACCATCACCACCATCATCGTCACCACCACCATCACCAGCATCACCACCATCACCATCATCACCATCATCATCACCATCACCACCATCACCACCATCACCATCACCACCATCACCATCACCACCACCATCACCAGCATCACCAAAATCACCACCATCACCAGCATCATCACCATCACCATCATCACCATCATCACCACCATCACCACCATCACCACCATCACCACCACCACCACCATCACCCCCATCACCAGCATCACCAGCATCAGCATCATCACCATCATCATCACCATCACAACCATCACCATCACCACCATCACCACCATCACCATCACCATCAACACCACCACCACCATCACCACCATCACCAGCATCACCAGCATCAGCATCATCACCATCATCATCACCATCACAACCATCACCATCACCACCATCACCGCCATCACCATCACCATCACCATCAACACCACCACCACCATCACCACCATCACCACCTTCACCTTCATCATCGCCATCACCATCACTACCACCATCATCACCATCACCATCATCATCACCATCACCACCATCACCAACACCACCATCACCACCATCAGCAACACCACCATCACCACCATCACCATCATCACCATCACCACCACCATCACCATCATCACCACAATCACCACCATCACGATCACCACCACCACCACCATCACCACCATCACCATCACCACTACCAACATCATCACCACCATCACCACCATCACCACCACCAGCATCACCACCACCACCATCATCACCACCATCACCACCACCATCATCACCACCACCACCACCAGCACCACCACCATCACCACCACCACCACCATCACCACCATCACCACCACCATCATCACTAGCACCACCATCATCACCACCATCACCACCATCACCACCACCACCATCACCACCATCACCACCATCACCACTATCACCATCACCACCACCACCACCATCACCACCATCCCGACCACCATCACCAGCATCACCACCATCACCATCATCACCATCATCATCACCACCACCACCATCACCATCACCACCACCATCACCACCACCACCATCATCACCACCATCCCGTAACACTTTCACCACAATCACATCAGCTAATCCTCCCGAAATCTAACATGCATTGGACCCTCCGAAGGCTTTGGCCTGGTTTTTGTTGTAACTCTCCCATAAAACCCTGCATGGAGCACCATCGTATCTCCTGACTGACCCTCCCATCACTGCTTTCCAGGGTCACTTCTTCGAGGACTGTGGAGGAAGTTGCTCTGCATTTGTTCCACATGAACATGGTCTACACTGGATGTGGTGGGGCTGAGATGTGGGCTGAGTTCACATTGGGGATGTGTTGACCTCGGCTCTGACTTTCTCCTTGTTCCCCTGCTTCTGTCCTTGTCCTCCACACTGTTGGCTGCTCCCTAAAGCTGCAGAAAGAACAGGTTTAATGGTAGTCGTAGCTACACTGACAGAGGGGTGAAATGCCCCAAGACGACAGTACTCCCAGGCCCCTTTTCTTTTACAAGAGCTGATCCCCTTCAGGGTCTATCTGCTTTTGCTGTCTTTTAGTGCCTCTGGGAGTGTGCCAGTCAGCTTCCTGTTACTGTCACACAGTGCCCAAGGTCTTCAATGCAGAAAGGTTATTTGGGCTCACAGCTTTGGAGGTTTCTGTCCATGGTCAGCTGGTCTTGCTGATTTTGGGTTAGTGGCATCACATACACCATGGCAGCAGCTCATGGCAAGTATGCTTCTCACCTCCTGGCAACCAGAAAGCAAAAGAGAGAAAAGAGGAGGGCCAGTTTCCCAGAACTTCCTTCAGACCCCACTGAGGTTCCCACCATCTCCCAGTGGGGTCAGGGTGGGGACTGAGGCTGGAAACCTTGGGCCTGTGGGCGGCTCCAGACCTGAAGTGTCCCAGTAGCTATGTTTATGCGTTGTTTGAGGTCATGGTTGTTACTCCTGGGGCAGCTGTGCTGCCGTGCGCTCTGTTGCATTACTGGGAGCAGAATTCTCAGTGTACCATTCCTTCTACATTTCTGAGTGATATTCCCTTGTGTGCATCCTGCAGTGTGTTTACCTTCTGCTGATTGGCACGTGAAGTGCAAATGGGTTTCTGGCTGCTATGAATACAGACACCAGGAGCACCTATGTGGAAGTCTTAGATGGGCACAGAAATGTTGTTTATGTAAATGCCCAAGACTGGAATGTCTGGGTTACAGAGTAGGTGTATATTTATTAAAAATTGTCTAGTTTTTATTCATTGCTTTTTCTTTTCTTCTTCTTCTTCTTCTTCTTCTTCTTCTTCTTCTTCTTCTTCTTCTTCTTTGTCTTTTGAAAACAGGGTCTCTCTATGCAGTTCAGGCTGAACTTGAGCTCACTTGGTAGCCCAGGCTGGTCTTCAATTGGCAATGATCCTCCTGTCTCAGCCTCCTGAGTGCTGGGATTACAGGTGTGAGCCACCACGCCCTGCTCGTTTCGTCTTTTAAAATTTTTGGGGGGGAGATACTGAAGAATCAAACTTGTGACCTAGCACTTGCCAGGCAGGCACTTGTGCTGCTGAGCTAACCCCCTGGCCCCTTTCCTAACTTGTTTTTTTTTTGGGGGGGGGTGGCACTGGGGATTGAATTCATGACCTTGTGCTTGCCAGATAGGTGCTTATACCACTGAGCTAAATCTGTCTTTTTTTTTTTCTTTCTTTTTTTGAAACAGGTTCTTGCTGTGTAGTTCAGGCTGGTCTATCCAGGTTGATTTTAAATTTGCATTGATCCTCCTGCCTCAGCCTCCTGAGTGCTTGGATTACAGGGAAATGGCACCATACTTATCTGGCTATTCATAGCTTCTCTCATTGCCTAAATTATTCTAGAGATAAGGAATGCAGGAATAAAACAGATACATCCTTAAGTGTACTCTATGTATGTTAGCAGATGTTGAGGGCAATGTTGTTATGGATTAGGTCTGCAGTGTCCCCCAAAGGCCCATGTACTAAAAGTGTGGTCACTTTTAGTGACCTATTGGGGCCTATTGGGAGGAAGTGAGGTCACTGGGCTGTGTGCTGGACAAAGATATTGGGACACTGGCCCAGCCTGTCTCTCTTAATTTCCTTCACTGGTACCAGGAAGTGAGCACCTTTGCTCTGCTCCTCCCACCACGATGCTCTGCTTTGCTGCAGGCCCAAAGTGTTGTGGCCAAGTTACCATGGACTGAACCTTCTGAAACCATGAGTGAGATGAATGTCTTTCCTCATAAGTTGTTTTTCTCAGGTTTCTGTCACATGGGGAGGGGGACAAAGTAGGCAAAGTCCACAGGGAGAGGACAGAGCTAGGTGGGGGGCTTTTGTTGAGTTGACTGGGCAGAAGAGTTTGCTGCAAGGGGTTTCTGGGGAGGAATTTAGGCCGAGGACAGCAGCTGTGCAGTGGTCCTGGCTGGGGTGGAGGGAGCCTAGGAGAGGAGGACACGAGGTTCAGGTAGCACAGGAACAGAGGACGCAGGACGTGCGGTGCAGCTCATGGACCATGGTAGGATGGAGCTGGGAAGACCTGGACCCTGACTGAGGAGGGCTGAGCTGGCTGTGTGTTGAGGCTTAGCTAGGGGAGAGCCGCAGATGGGCAACACTGGCCGGGGCAGTTGGAAGGCAGAGCTGGTGGGATTTACTGACAGAGAGGCCTGGGTCTAGAGAGAGAAAGACAGTGCCAGGAAAACTCCTCGAGTTCCTCGCTAAGTGACTGGAAGCAGTGAGTGACTAGATTGATGTGAACACTCGGTATCGATCTGGTAAAATGATACGGGGCACTTATTGGAAGGACGGGCACAGGAAGCATACGAGGTCACTCTGAGCTGTCGCCTTGCCAAGCTTTTTATGGATCCAGCCTCTGGAAAGGATCTGATTTCTCAGTTGCTTGTTTATTGTTTTTCTGTCTTGCTGGAGGACAATCCAAGGCGGCTCAGGGTGTGGCCTGATAGATGACAGAACGAGAAGGAAGGAAGGCAGGGAGAAAGGCAGGAAACAGGGAGGGAGGAGGCGGGCAGGAGGGAAGGACCTGTGTCCCTGTCCTTCGTTCACACCCGATGTCTGCTTGTCTGTCTGTGTGAGCATGCACCCATGGGAGACTTGCTTGTTTCTCGAAGTGAAGTCCTAGGTAGTATCCAGGGCATGTGAAAGTCCCTGTGAACCTGGGCTCAGGCTGGCCTTTGGCTTGCGTGGACCCCAGTGACCAAGCAAGTTTTCCAAGGTGGAAGCCACTTGTTTTAGCTCTGAGCAGCGCTGGTGGCAGGAGCAGTCACCATGCCCTCTGCCTCCATTTGTCCTTGGCCCCAGGTACCTAGGACCCAGCTCCCAGCACAGGCTGGTTCTTGCAGCCCCGGGGTGCAGCCCTTTGGGTGCCTGAGGACAGATACAAGGTCCCAAAGCCCTGCCTCTCTCCAGCTCCTCTGACACACCTGATGCCTCCTTTCTCCAGCCACCAAGAGTCCTGGGCACCCCTCTGTGCCCGGCCCGTGCTCAGCTCTAGGGCCACAACCGTGAGCCTCGGTCCCTCTCTGTGCAGAGTGGTGTGGGCCATGGATGGTACAGCCCTGCCTATGGCTCTGGGAGCAGCTGGGGCACCCACAGGGCAGGATAGTCGGGGTCTCCGCAGCCCAGCAGGGCTGCCCAAGCCCCACTTCCTTGTCTGTGAAATAGGTCGAAGCTCACGGCTGCCTTGCAGGGCCCAGCCCTCGTCTCCTTCCTCTGCTCTCTGTGGCCAGCCAGGTGGGGCGATGTGTGCCGAAGGAAGGGAGGCACCAAGATGCAGAAACCACAATTGCTCCAGGATGGGGCTGGAGAGGACTCAGGGGGACCTGAGGACAGGGCTGGGGTCCTGTGAGCATTTGCTGAGGAAGTTCCACACCCAGCTCGGTTCTGGTGGTGCTGGGTTGGGCATGAGGGTTCCAGAACCATCCCTGACCCTGAAGCAGGTGAGGTTTGTGGGGGCCCCTGGACGCCGCCTTCAGAGTAGCAGCCTGGTAACTGTCACATCTGCTCCCAGGACCGGCCAGTTCTGTTGTGTGGCAGAAGCTGGGTTGACTGTGTGGCAGCCAGAGCCTGGTGCCCTGGGCACTGAGCAATGGAAACGCAGGGCCAGGGCTTCTGCTGGTCAGGAGGCCCATCCCAGATGGGGCAGTCGTTCCCAGCTAGCTATCCCACGCAGGGACGCCACTGGGATGGCAAAGCTCACTCCTCCCCTGGTGCTGCGGGGACGCTCAAGCTGGGGGCTGCAGTGGGCCTGGGAGCCGTGTCACACACTCACGGTTTGATCCCTGCTGTCCCATATGTGTGTGTGCGCGTGTATGGGTGCGGATGCCGGCGGGAAAGCGGCATTGTTAATGCGATCGTTCTGCTTCTGTCAGCTTTTATTATCATTAACACCGGCTCCTTGGGGACCCTGCAAGGTTTCAGATGAGCTCTCAGATTAGAGCTCTTTGTCCAGGATGAGGGTTTTGAGCTGCTCCCCCGGGTGCCGGGCATGTGTGCCAGGCCGGGCCTTGGGGCTGTGTATTACAGGCGCAGATGCAGCTGGGCGCGGCTCGAGGAACCTGCTGCCCTTCTTCCTGGTCATGCACCGAGGTGAGACAGCAGCCTCCTGGGAGACGATGTTCCAGGTAGCTCAGGGGCGGTCCTGAGGCAGCTGCCTGGGCTGCAGGGGTCATGTGGGGCTGAGTGATGCCTGTCTTCATTCTGCTGCTGAGAAAAAACTGGAGTCCTTTCTGTCCCAGTGGGTTTCATTTGCTTGGTGCTTATGCGGGGCCAACTTGGGCTGGGAACAGTTCTAGCTTGGGTATGCAATGGCCAGAAACCCTCAGCGGAGCTCACGTCCACTGGGAGGTCAGAGACAAAACAAGAGTGGACAGACAGGCCTGTGCCATGACGAGTGTGAGAGAGCGGGTGCGGTGGCACAGGGCTCATGCCCCTCGAAGAGGGGTCACCGTGGAGCGGCTTCTGCTTGCAGCGAGGGCAGAGCCTGCAGGCATTGACTCTGGTGGATGACTCTAGGGGCACCTGAAGACAGAATCAAGGGTTATTTGGGGTGTGTCTATGAGGGGAGATTATCTGGCCTGTGGGGACAGGGAGGACAGCTTTGTCCCTGGGGTGAGTGGACACAGTCCAGGACTGGGGACCTGGAAGGGTGGGGCTCCCCTTCTAGGAGCAGGGGCAGCATCTCCTGTCCTTGGACCTCAGAGCCGCAGGCTCCCACCTCTGACGCCAGGACTCGCTTCAGTGAACCCCAGGTCGTCAGGCCATGGCTCTGTGCTCCTCCTCCTTTCACAAATCTACCAGCCCACTCTCCCCCAAGGAGCCAGTGCCCCGGCTGTTCTGTGAGTGGCACAGCACAGGCAGAACTCTGTTGCTGTGACAGAATCTAGAGAGTCAAGCTAGAGGAGGAGACATTACTGAGGCTCAGGGTTTCAGTGGTCGGGTCCAGGTCACTCGGCTCTTTGCCTAAGGCCGGTGTCATGGTGGGGAGCTGCTCACCTCAGGGTAGCCAGGAAGGGAGAGGCCAAGGGAGGGAGAGAGAGAGAGACAGAGACAGAGAGAGAAAGAGAGAGAGAGAGAGAGAGAGAGAGAGAGAGAGAGAGAGAGAGAGAGACAGACAGAGAGAGAGAGAGGCGAGGGGCTGGGACAAGCCATAATCCCCAGGTCATTCCTCCATCACCCCCTGCCTCCAAGCTGCCCCCCTAAATTCTAAGCCCCCCTATAACACAGCCCTGCTCAGGGCAGGCCTGGGGGCGGAGCCTGGATCACTAGAGGCTGTAGCTGAAGGCTTGCTAGGATGGGGCCGGCTGGAGGCCGCAGGTCACTGTGAGTGCATGTCCCCTCCCAGCCTCCTCTTTTCCGCGGTGGAGTCTGCAGGGTGCGGGGACCCCAGAGTAGCAGCCCACCCCATGCAGCCCATTTCCATTCGCATGAAGCCTTCTCCTCGCCCTGCATGCCTGCCCCTCACCTGGGTCCGTGCCTGGGCCATGTCTCCCTCATCAGGTACCACTGGTGTCTGTCGCTCCAGGTTGGCTCTACCTCACCTCCTCCCACCCGAGCGGCTGGCACTAAGCCCGGCCCAAGGCGCCCCCAGTCTGGGGACCAGTGCTGCTGCTGCTGTGTGATAGCCAGCCCTCACCCAGTGTGGAGTGCAGACTCACAGGAAGTGCCTGGAACTGTTTGTCGAATGAGTAAGTGACTGGGCAGGTGAAGGAATGCAAGCAGGCTGGGTCAGGAGGGTCGAGGTGTGTCACATCCGCTCTATGTGGGGTTACTCGGGGGTCTGAGGCGAGGGACAGAGGGCGAGGCGTGGGACTGAGGCAAATCCTTCAGACGCCTCCACTCCAGACCCGCACAACCCGCGTGCTGAGCGGTGGAAGGGCTGCCGAGGTGGCCGCCTCAGACCCCCACAGGGGGCTGCGTGTGGCCCAGGCACGGGAGACAAATGACCCCCCAGGATGTGAGAAGGCCGAGCCTCTGCCGGCGGAGGTTCGCCTCCCATTCCGGCTCCTTCTGTTGATTCACTGCTGTTGCTAGGCAACAGAGCAGAGCCAGGCGGGTGTGACCTAAGAGAAGCCGTTCACGGGGGTGGGAGCTGGGCGCGCAGTGGGGTCCCCGCCCCGCGTGCAGCCCTCAGTCCGCCTGTGCGGGGAAGACCCCGGCACGGGTCCCGCTCGCGGCGGTCTCTGCCAGCTCCCCCTCCCCCCGCGCGTGGGCGGAGCGCCGGGTTGTAAGGCCGATCCCCACCGTGTGCCAGTCTCCTGGAGCGACAGCCGGGAAGGCAAAGCCCCCGCTCCTAGAAGCTGGCGTTCTGATGGGGACACCGCGCATAGGTGTCGGTTACTATCGTCAGGCAGATGTATCTTATGATAAAAACATGCTATGGAAGAAAAGAAATACAGAGGGCCAGGAGGAAAGAAGGAGGGAGGGAGGGAGGGAGGGAGAGAGAGAGAGAGAGAGAGAGAGAGAGAGAGAGAGAGAAGGGAATTAGTGGCATCTGTATGTAGGAGAACTTGCTTGGCTCATCGAGAAGTTGACATTTGGGCAACATCTTGAAGAAACTGAGGAACCAAGCCTTGCAGGCCCGGAAGCACAAGGCAGCGGCGGCAGGTGCAAAGGCCCTGAGGCTGGGGTGGGTACACAGTGTGGGTGACACACCAGGGAGGCCGAGCAGGGGCAGAATGGAAGCAGACCCTTGAGGGTCCCTAGGCCCTGGAGCACATCACAGCTGACAGGTCACAATCCTAAACTCACCCCAGTCCCACCCCAGCACACACACCCTGCAGTCAGGCCTCCCTCTTGCCAAAGGCCAGCCTGCCCTTTCTGAGCAGCCTGCACTGCTGTCCTTGCTGCTGCTCTGTGAACCCTGGGGACCCTCTCCACGGGACAGAGCCGGAGACAAGCCTTGGGCGCAGGCAGATGGTGGATCCGGGTACTGGCACTGGGACCCGGCTCCAGGCTGTGGAGGAGGCCCTAGAACAGGCCCCTTCAAGGCGCGTGGGCAGTAGCACCCTCCACGGAGTCTCAGCTCAGCATGCAGTGGGTCAGCACGAGAGCACTGATCCCCACTTTCCACACAGCCAGGCACAGCACCCCGCATGTGGCCCAGGACTTGGAGTGAAGCACACAAAGAGGAGGGGAGGCCTCGCTGGGCCGGGCGCCATCCACTGGGCTGCACTGCAGTCACGATGGCGTCTGCCTGCACCCCTCATGCTTCAGTGTCTGGCCCTGGGCCGGTCAAAGCTGGGCGCCCTTGCCTGGGGGATGGGCGCTATCTGCGCTTCCCAGGGCTCTGCTCTGCTGACTGTGCCCGCTCCCTGCCCCTCTCAGTGCTGAGAGGGACCAGCCTGCAAGGGGAAGCCAAGTGGCACTGAGCTGGAGCTTCTGATCTCACGTGGGGTATGCAGTGTGCTACCTGAGCTTCCATCCTGGCCCAATTCCCTCTGAGCCTGGACACAGGGAAGTGACACCACTCTCCCCAGGGGGTAAAACTCAGTCCTGGGGACTGGACGCAGCCTGGGGTTTTGAACACTTTCCTGTTCATCTGTCTCACCCGTCCCTTGGTTTATGGTTTCCCTGAGTCCTTCAGGGTGGCTTCTGCTCCGGTGCCTACTGCAGCCTTGATTCTTTATGTTATTTTTTGAAACAGGCTTTGGCTAGGCAGTTCAGACTGGCTTTGAACTCACTGTGAATCCTGGGTTGGCCTCGAATTTGCAGTGATCCTCCTGCCTCAGCCTCCAGAGTACTGGGATTACAGGTATATCACAGCTGGCTGCAGTCTTGATTCTTTTATTTGGTACTAGGGATTGAACCCTAGGGCCTTTGCATCTCAGCTACAGCTGCAGCGCTTTTTAAAATTTACAAATTTTGGGGGTACCAGAGATTGAACACAGGATCTTTGCACTGAGCTACACATCCCCTCCCCTGCTGGTTTTGAGACAAGCCCTAAATTGCCAGGGCAGGGATCAAATTCTCAATCCTCCTTCCTGCCTCAGCCTCCTGAATGCTTGGATTACAGGCATGGGCCACCACGCCTGGCTAATCATCATTTCCTAGGCAACGAGTGGTGGAACCAATGCTCTAAAGACTCAGTCACCAAGCACCCCAGGAAGGCTGGGGAGGCACTGTCTCGGGGCCTCCATCTCTGGTGGATGGAGGAGAGGAGCAGTTGACCTTCAGGGCTCTCAGGAGGCCTGGAGAGAGCCCGGCTGGAGGCCACACACCCGACTGGTGTAAGTGCTGTGAATTATTGATCAGCAGACAGGAATGTGCAGCGGGGTCATTTTCCTCCTGGCCAAACTGCTCCATAGGTTTAATTGCCTGGTTTCTGAATTCTCTGGGGCCATCCTGGGGACAGGACTAGCTCTGCGCCCCTTAATTTTGCTTGAACCTCCATCAGTATGGAGGGTGAAAGTGGGTGTGTTGGCTTCTCCTTGGAGTGGGATAGGGACGAGTGGTGGATGCATGAGGGCTCCAGGAGGTTCCTCTCTGTGCACCCCAGCTCCCCTCCCTGACCCCAGTCTGAACCCCCTCATTTGACTGTTGGGCGGGGCAGTGAGACCACTGCAGGCAGCTGCAGGGCTCTGGGCTGTGTACTTGGGGTCCTTTATCCTGGCCGAGGGACAAACAGAACGAGCAGGACTTTAGAGACGGGCCAGGCAGTCGGCTCCTGGATGCAGTTTGCCAGTCTCTGTCGTAGAAGGAAACAGGATAAACATTTTTATGGCCCTGAGCTAGTTGCTTTCTTAGAGGTGGCAGTTGAAGCAGGACCCATAAGATGAAAGCTGATTTGGGAACCGTAACAATGGACAGCACTTCCTCCTTTGAAAGAATTAAGAAAATGAAAATAGAAGCCCTGAATAGGAGCAGATCTTTGCAAAGCATATATATGGCTTATCTCAGAAATTGTTGGAGCTGTTGAGGCTGAGTACACGTGCAGGGCTGTGGCATGGTCCGGGTATGGTTGAATTCAGAACGAGGAGGCATCTCAGCAGGCAAGACAGGCCACAGCTGAGGACACCTGGAGAATTTGTGGCTAGTTCTCCTTAATTAGCATCCTTGGGTGCTCTGAGGGGTCCTGGAACCCCTCTCAAGATTGTCCACTCAGCTCCTTGCTTGTTCTGATTAAATATGGGCTGCCCAGGGTCAGTAGGCCAGCCGGCTAGCAGAGTTACGAGCTCTGCCTAAAGATTATGCTGAGTCTCATTTGTTTGAGTCCCCATTTGGGGGGCTGGGGGTCTATGCACAGACCCCAACAAGAAATACATAAAGAACCCTTAGAACTCAATAATAAGAAGACGCATAAGCTAATTAGTAAGTAGGAAGTCTGAACATCAGTTCACCTGAGATGGTTAATCAGTGTTGAAGCTGGGCGTAGTGCACATGCCTGTAATCCCCACACTTGGGAGGCTGAGGCAGGTGGACTGCTAAATGTAAGGCCAGCCTGGGCTTCAAGATGAGCTCAAGTCCAGCCTGAACTGCATAGTGAAACTGTCCCCCCTCCAAAAAGCCGGGTGTAGTAGTGACTCCTGTAATCCCAGCACTCAGGGGGCTGAGGCAGGAGGATTGTAGCCAGTTCAAGACCAGCCTGGACTATGAATGAGCCCAATGAGCCCAAGGCCAGCTTGAACTGCACTGTGAGACCCTATTTAAAAAAAGACAAAAAACAAAACAAAAAACAAATCACCCATGTTTATAGCAGCACAATTTTAATAACCAAATCCTAGAAACAGCTCAAATGCCCATCAACCAAGGAATGGGTAAAAAAGATGTGTTGTGTTTATACAATGGAGTACTACTCAGTTTTAAAGAAGGATTGTACTGGGGCTGGGGATTTAGCTCAGTGGCATAAGCACCTGCCTTGCAAGCACACAGTTGTGAGTTCAATTCCCGGTACATCCCCCCCCCCCAAAAAAAAACAAAAGAAGGATCACATTGAAGCTTTTATTGGCTTTTATTAAGTGAGATAAATCTGACTCACATGTGTAAATACTGCACTGTCTCCCCAGTGTAAGAAACTGAGAGTAAATGAGAACCAAAATCTACAATAGATATTGTACAAGGATAAGAAATTATTAAAGGGGAAAAATAACTGTGATAGGGAAAGGAGAGAAGGGAGGGAAAGCCAGGTGTGGTGGCTCATGCCTGTAATCCCAGCACTCGGGAGACTGAGGCAGGAGGATCATTACAAGTTCGAGACCAGCCTGGCCTACAAAGTGAGCCTGAGCTGCATAGCGAGATCCTGTCTCAAAAAGACCAGAAAAAAAAAAAAAAAAAAAAAAAAAAAAAAAAAAAGGGAGGGAAAAGAAAAAAGATACAAATTTGTTTATATGTACATAAAACAGCTAAGATGGTTATCTGACTAATTTGATTAGCTCTTGGAAAAGAACAGTTAGTACTCATATGATTATAGATCAATTTTGCATATCTATGTCTGATATCTAACCAACTCTTTTGAAGATAGCAATATTACAACCATTGTTAAATTCCTATCATCTTGTTTTGAAAGCCTATATTGCTATTGTTTTTTGTTGTTCTTACAGTTGTTTGTCTCTTTTTTCTGTTTTTTTCTCTTTAAAATAAAGACAAATTCAATGTATGAAAAGGTAAGCATGTAGCTTGCTGCCTTCTGTCTTCTGCCTGCCATGAACTAGTTCCCCTCTGCCACGCTGTCCCGCCCTGGAGTCTGCCAACGGTGAGCTGAAACTTCTACAAACCGAAAATATGATAAACATTTGCTTTAAAAAAAAAAAAAAAGGCGGACATCTTCAGCATTCCAGGATATTGCACACTTAGACCACGGTGGGGCTCTGCTGCACACCTGTCAGAGCGGCCTACATTAAAAAGGCTGCCTGTGTTGATCTTGGTAAGATGGGGAGAAGCTGGAGATGTGACACTGCAGGACCACTCTGGAAGCAGTTTGGGATAAGACCCCCACCACATGCCACTGTTCCGTAACATAAGAAAGTCCTTCCACTCGTTTTATGAGTTACTACAAAACTGCAAGAAAATTATTAGCCAACTCTACCTGTAAACTCACCCTATTAGCAAGACAAATGTGACTGCATCTGTATCCTGAGCTTGGAGCAATTCGCCCTAGGAATTCAAGGATGGCTAAAGGCAAAAGTGTTCATTCAACTTATTTTATTAAAAGGTAAAAGGAGAAAAAGCCCTGCAAACACATCAGTAGATACCATAAAGCAAAGCAACCACGTCGGATAAAGTTCAATCCTCATGCTTGGTAAACTCACTCAGAAAACTCGGAAGAGAATTCTTGATCTGAGAAAAGACACCAGGTGGCACCAAGCAGGCAGCATCACTTTTCACAGGGATGCTCTGAAAGCATTGTGAGGCCCGAGGCGAACTCGCCTTCCAGCAGCACTGCTGGTTGGCTCTTCTTGGCCTTGGACCCAGCGGGGCTGGCCGGCAGACAGAATTGTGTGTTTGCCAACACGTGTTCATCTATACAGGAGAACCTGCTCTCCAGAAGCTGGGACAGCTTAACCAAAATGCTGGCTGCATCAAGCAGTTGTAGCGTTCCTCTGGACCGTGCTGTTGGTTAGAATGGTGAGGGAGCCATGGCAGCTACTGGGCGCTTCAAACAAAATCTGACAAAATTGCGCAGTGCCTGGGTGGAGGGAAGGCAGGCACCTAGCGGGCTGACCCTAGCAGACCTAAGCTGACTGCCGGCTGGTCTGCCGCCTCCTGGCTAGCACGCGTTAGGTGGGTCGCCCATGCCTCAGTTTCTTCATTTGTGGAAGGACGATAGTAGTAGTAACTTTCTTTCGGCGAGTTGGGAAGATGAATGGAATTATACATAAAGTGTTCAGGTCAGCAGCTGGTGTGTGATTAGCTCTACATACATCGTGGCTCTTTCTACGGTGAGCATCACAGAATTGAAGGGCATGAAAGAGCTGAAAAAACAGAGTTGGGTGGAGATGTGTCGGTATCAGGGAGATGTCAGTGTGCCCTGGTTCTTATCAGTTCATTGTAAATTCTTTTTTTAAAATTTTATTGAAAGAGAAAAAACAAAACAAAACAGAAAAAGGGTACACGTAATACAGAATTTCAAAAAAATAAACAGTAAGAAATCACTAGTTAATAGATTACATATTATCATCTTAGAAATAGCTGTTCAAGTTACAAAATTAAAGCATACAAAGTGGACATTCAAACAGTGAGACTGCAAACAGTTCTGTTCAATGATCCAACGAAAACTTAGTAATATGGTCATCTATCTTACACACTTAAATATAAGTTCATTGTAAATTCTATGAAAACCCAATAGGGTTTTGTTTGAAACCCAACAGTCTTTCTATGCAGTTCAAACCGGACTTGAGCTTCCCCTGTAGCCCAGGCTGGCCTCAAACTCGAAGCAATCCTCCTGCCTCAGCCTCCAGAGTGCTGGGATTACAGGTGTGCACCACTCCGTCCGGCTAAATGTACCTTTCTTTGTGACAGTGTAATACTGGATTATGTATAAATACCACATTTCCCTCATCCATGCATCTGCCAATGGACATGTGTGCTGTTTCTAAGATGTAACTATGATAAACTGTGCTGTAACATTAGCCCCTTCTATAGGGGAAGAGTGTCATAAACAATAGTAACCGAAGGGCGAAGGATTAGAAGACACTCATAGGACACATCTGAAAACGGAGCATAGATGGTGCCAAGATATAAAAGGCTCCAGGAAGCCAGTAAGAAGAAAGGCAGTGAGCCACCCAATGGACACATGGGCCAAGGCAAAGGACAGGAAATTCAAAACAGAGGTCATGAAAGCAGCGGCGGAAAGTTTCATAGCCATGCCAGTAAACAGGAACTGCAAATTAAATAATCAGCATGGTATCAGCCAAGGGCCAACTTCACATGAAATTAGTTCTACTGTGTCCCCTGCGGGAGACCGCGCGTGGTCCCCTGCGGGAGGAGTGTAGAGGGCTCCTCCATTTGGCAGCAAGGCGACGTTAAACACCCACTGCAGTAGCACGCAGGCCCCAGCACGCCCCAGCGGTCTCCGTTCCAGGTTCTTGGTGTCCTCAACAAAAGAAATGGACAAGACACGTGAAGAAGAGTAGTGGGATTTTACATTTATTTATTTTTAGTACTGGGGATCAAACTTACGACCTCGGACCTGCCAGGCAAACGCTTATGCCACTGAGCTGACCCCCCGACCCAGGCTTTACCTATATTAAGGCAGACAATGCGTGCGCCAAGCGCAGAAGCCAGGAGTGACCAGGAGGTTACAGCAGGGTCCCCCGTATCTCTCATTCTTCAGCCTGCCGTCAGGTCTAGGCCGACCTATCAAAAACCGATTTGGGGCCAAAGCGCAGAAAGCCCCTTCTGATTGGATCCTCCTGACTCGGCCCCGGTCTCCCTACCGGACAGGCCACGCCCCCGTGTCCAGCCGACTTGCCCCGCCCTCATTGCCTCCCTCTGAACCTCCGGGTTCGGGGAACCGTCTGACACTGAGCGGTGACAGGTAACCGAAATAGCCACGGAAGGGTGCAGCCAGGCCGGGAGAGGCAGTTAATCGGGGCTCAGCCGGTCGCTGGGACGCGGTTACTGTGCTCCATCGCCGACTCCCGGGGTGCAGCTTCCCCTGTGGCTGAGTCCTGCCGCCTCTGCCTGGGCATCGCTGGCCCCGGCGAGCGGGGAAGGGGCGCAGATGGGCTCCGGCGAGGGGCCTCACGGACGGACGCTGTGTTCCAGCGTCCAGATGAGCGCAAACGCGAGGGCGAGCTGAAACAATAACGGGGTGGAGCGGCTCAGCGCGGGCCATCAGTGTGATAATGTTTCTGTGAAGTTTAAAACTGCACGAAATGGAATAAGGCGCGCATAGGTGTGAAAGAACAGAAGGCAGCCGGGGACAGGGTTTGCCCCTGATGAAGAAGGGAGGCGTAGGTAGGGGATGGCCTCCTCCCTGTCCTCGGTCCGTCCCCCCCCCCTTTACTTCTTAAATGAAAAGAGAACACATGAGCGCCGGGAAGGCGGGGTTCCAGGAACGCAGGCCTCGCTTTTCCCGCACTGTGTCAGGCAGGTAAACACAATGTGAACTGCACCTGGGGAGGCCAGTGACACATTCCAAAGGGAAGGCGCTGGCTGGGGCTCAGCCTGTCAGGAGCTCCCCAGACACCTTCAGTCAGGAGGCACGCTGGTGCGGCCTGGCCGGGCTGTGTTGGTGGCACCGGGACTGTCGTTCTGTTGGAGGAGAAGAGCTGCCTCGGTGGCTCTGATCCAGCCAGCCACCCCAGGAGGCTACAGCAGGTGGGCTAGAAGCCCGGCCAGACGTGTGGACCCTGACAGCGGGCTGCTGCAGGGCAGCTGCGGGAGTTCCATCCCGGTTCTACAGGGACTCTGGTAAATGTCATCGCTGCGGCAGGCGAGCTCGGGGTTTGGGGACAGTGACTCAGCGCCGTTTTCATTTATAACGAAACAGAACTGGTGTGGCCTTCTTTATTACACAAAGCACTGCGGCCTTCCTGGAGGAGGACTGCCCCGCACTTTGCCCTGGCCATGTGGCCGAGTGCCCCGGGGCCCCTCAGTGTCCCTTGGAGCTCGAGTGTGGGCTTCTGTGATGTCTCAGGGCAAGCTCATGCCCTGCTGTCTCCTTTACCTCTGCATGTGCCCAGCAGGGGACAAATGTGTGGTCTGGCCCCTTCAGCCTGGGTCCTGGGGCAGAGATGACAGGGTCAGGGCTGTGTCCCCCCGGCTGGCACATGGTTTGGCAAGGGGCTGGGAAGCTGCAGTGTGGCTGCTGCACGGTCACCCGGACTCCTCCTCTGTCCTGGGACAGGCTGAGCCCCCACCTGTTGAAGAAGGGGGAGGGTCAGGATCGAGGGCTCCTGCAGTTGACAAACAGCTCCTCGAAGGTCACAGTCACCTGCACAGAATCCTCTCTCTTCACCCTAGCAGGGTCTTTGTTCTTTGCAGTCATTCAGGGTCTTGGCAGGTGTCATTCTTCATCTTATTTATTTCTTTATTATCTTATTTTACTTTTTTCAGACTAGGTCTTGCTATGCAGTGCAGGCTGGCCTTGAGCTCACTTTGTAGCCCAGGCTGGCCTCAAACTCAGCAATCCTCCTGCCTCAGCCTCCCAAGTGCTGGAATTACAGATGTGCACCCCCATACCTGGCCTAATTTTATCAGCACACGTTTGCAGTATACAGTGATCCCAGTGCTTGTGGGGAGTTGGTCTGTGCACACAACACATCTTCATCCTTTTTAAAAATCTTGTTCTCTTCTCCCCTTCCCTTGAGCTCTTGGGTCTGTTCCCATTTCAAAAAAGATTTATCTCCCTGCTGCCTCTTGTCTGCCTGTTACCTTGCTCTTTGTTTATACTCTGGGTTTCTCACGTAAGAGGAACCATTTGATACTTAAGCTTGAGTGTCTGATTTAGTTCCCTTGACAGGACTGTCTTGAGCTGCATCCTTTTCCTACCAATGGCTCAAGCGTGTCCTTCTTTATGACACAGTAGTACTCCACAGTGTGTGAACACCACATCCTCTTTAAGCGTCCCTCTGGGGATGGACAAACAGGGCACTTCCACAGCTTAGCTCTCAGGAAGTCGCTCCATCTGCATGGGTGCTCTTCTAAGACCCCAAGGAAGAAGAAAAGCAACCCAACGAAGAGGCTCTTCTGCCTCTCTGAAGAGACTGTACCTCCTCTGACCTGACAGCCACTGCCCAAAGTGCTCAGGCGCCAGGAGTGTCCAAAGGGCTGGAGACACAGAGCACAGAGAGCAGATGCTGGGAGCTGCTGGCCGCCTGGGGGCTCTCGGGTATGTCAGGAGGGTCAGGCCTGTGCCAGGCGGAGGGACAGCAGGGGCACATGGCGTTATGCTGAGACTGGCAGGGTCTAGGTGGGTAGGCCTCCTGGAGGACTGCCTCACTCTGGAAGGGGCACCCCTGGTGGGGCCTGGAAGGAGGAGGAGGAGGAGGAGGAGGAGGAGGAGGAAAGGTAAGAGGCCCTGTAGGGAGTACACGCAGATCTTTTGTGGTGCTGGGGATGAACCCAGAGCCTTTGAACTGAGTCCCATTCTTAAATCCTTTTCTAGTTTTTTATTTTGAGTCAGAGTCTTGCTAAGTTTTGCTCGGACTGGACTTGAACTTGTAATCCTCCTGCCTCAGCCTCCCAAGATGCCACCATGCCTGACTGGAAAGACCCCTGACCCAGACAGTGCACATAGCTAGGAGCCTGGGGATCGGAGCAGGAAGGAGCTGGGCCCTGGGTTTTGTGGGCCCGGAGTGTGGGTGCTGGCTGGAGGAGGCTTGGACAGCTTCCCACGGCCAGCTGGGAAGGCGTCTCGAGGGCTGGGGTGACCCCATTTGTCTTTGGTGGTGTGGGGAGCAAGCCAGTCCAGTGCCCAGAGAGGATGAGGGTTCTTGAGTGGCACCTTGACAAAAGGGCCATGCGACAAGAGGTTTCCCTTCCTGGGAAATTGCCTAGTATCCACAGACTTGCTATGTGACTGTACAGCACTGCGTGCACGTGGATGCTGGGACGCAGGGTGCTGTCCCTTGCGGCCTCCAACCTGCAGTCATTGCGGAGGCCACCAGCTGTGGGTAAATGGCCATGCCCTGCCAAAGGAATACTACATGGCAGTGAAAAATGAACAAGTCACAGCTACACATCTAATAATATGACTCTCAGAAACACAAAGCTAAGCAAAAATGGAAAAAACTTGTACCTGGTAGGCTACTTGTAGAAAATGCCCAAGCTTGCAACACTGCAGTTAGAAGTCAGGGTGGGGTTAGCCTTGGGGTGGCTGCAGGAACACCACTACCACAGCCTGGGTGGCATAAGCAACACACATGCGGGTTCCCGCAGTGCTAGAGATGCTGGAGCTGTTTCCCAGATTCCAAAAGACGGGGTAGTGGGGTGGTGGGGTGGTGGGGGGGGTAGGCCTGGGTGGCAGTGTATTCTCCACAGAAGGTGGTGTGCACTAAGTGGGATGTTTCACTTTGCTTGTGCATTTGTCGGTCAGGCTGCCCTGGGGGTGGCGGCAGCGGCTAAAACAATAGCAATGACTTCCGCGCAGCCCTGGAGGCCGGAAGTCCAAGGTCGAGGTGCTGGCCACCTCGGCTCCCTGGTGAGGGCCCTCTGTCTGGTGCACAGTTGGCCCGGCTCTTGCCCCGCAGACTGTGGGAGGGATCCAGCAAGATTTCTGGTCAGGCTTCATCCAACCCCAGGTGCCCCTGAGGCCCTGCCCCCGGATGCCGCCACACAGGGCTTGGGCGGGGCCCATCCGATCCAGCTGTATTTTGCAGTATTACTGCGCTTAGGGGGAAACTGAGGCACGAGGCCGCATGCCTAGCAGAGCGGTGAGAAGAAGCAGACATAACTCCTGGGACAGCTGAGGAGCGGCGGCAGAGGCAGGACGAGCGACTGGAGCGTGGGACCCTATGTGGGGGTCCCATCAGTGACGCTCCTGTCCGCTGGCTCCAGGAACCGGAAAGCCATTCTCCCAGCCCTGTGCCGCGAGCCCAGTGTCTTTTTTGGTGTCGGGTGGGAGGCTGATGAGCTGCTGCAGCTGTGAGAGACGACTAGGGAAGGCGAGGCAGGGGTGTGGCCGTGTCCTCTGGCACCGGACGGTGAACTGGGAAGGGCAAGGAAGGACGATCGTCACCAGCAGGCCCTCCATGGGCGCAGGGCTTGCGTCTCTTCCGTTTGCCACCCTGCTCCCGTGCTGGGACCGTGTCTGCATGTAGCCGGTGCTCAGTGCACACACATCGTAAGTCAACGATGTCAGGCGTGGTGGCGCACACCAGGAATCCCAGCACTCTAGGAGACTGAGGCGGGAGGACTGCAAGTCCCAGCCCTGCCTGGGCAACGCAGCAAGTCGTTGTCTCAGAATACAAAATGGGCTTGGGATGTAGCTCAGAGCAAAGGCCCTGGGCTCAAGGCTTAATACCAAGTAAAGGGGTGCCATGAAAGAGGGGGAAGGCCCCCAGATGCACCCCCAGTGCAGCCAGACCCCCGCCAAGCAAAGATCTTGTCCTTGTGTCCCTCTGACAGTAGGCTGTGCGGCCTCCTTGGGGGCGGTCAGGACTGGAACCCGGGCTGCCTGTCTTCCAGTGGGTGAGGCTGCAGCGAGTCTGCGGTCCTGAGGTAGAGGCAGGACGGGTGTGGACTGAGTGGGGGCTGGGTTAAGGTGCCGGAATGGGGTGCCGAGGTGGGAGGATGGGGCCGGCACCTTCCTCAGGTAGGCAGCGCGGTGAAAGGCCCAGGCGGGGCAACCACAGTGACAGTGGGGAGGAGGAGGAGGGCGCGCGGCGGGCGGCCGGAGGGGGCAGTGCTTTCCCGGCCCGGGTGCACGGCGCCCCGCTCTCACCTGCAGCGAGAACTGCGCCGCGCCGGGACGCACCGGACCGGCTAGTGTGGCCTGCAGAGCGCCGTCCGCGCGCCGCAGCGACCCCAGCCCGCGCCCGGCCCGCAAAGCGACCCCTCCGGCCGCGCCCACCCCGCCAGGTCCTCCGGGCCCTCTGCCCCCGGGTGTCTCTGCCGTGCGTGGGCACCTGGACGCTTAAGGTGGCCCCTCCCCGAGCTCGGCGCCGGGAACCCCGCCTCCCCGGGCCAGCGCTCGCCTCGCCCGCCCGCGCGGGCGCCCAGCACCCAGATTCTCCGCCAGGCGGGGGTCCCGGCCGCGCGTGCGGGCGGCCGAGGGGCGGGGTCGGGGCGTGGGGGAGGGGCTTGTGACGGCGACGCCCCGACCCCGCGTCGCCCCGCCCGCCGGGCTCTCGGCGCAGCGCAGCGCCGCGCGCGTCCCCAAGCCGCCACCGCCGCCGCCGCCGCCGCCTCCTCGCGGGCGCACGACGCAGCGCGCTCGGGCCGGCCGGGATGCGCGCCCCGGACCCCGCGCGCCCGAACCCGCGGCCGCCCGCGCCCCGCCCGCCCCCGGCCGTGATGCCCGCCCCCCGGGGCCCCGGCGGCCCGCGCCCCTGCTAGGCTGTGGCGGCATGGCCCGCGCGCCCGGCGCGACCTCTGCGGATTGCATCGGTGCGCGGCGGCGGGGCATGCCCAGGGCACCGGGCACGGCCTTCAATGGGCGAGGACACGGACACGCGGAAAATTAACCACAGCTTCCTGCGGGACCACAGCTATGTGACCGAAGGTAACGTACGTGTAGTCTGAGGCCCCCTCCGGCCGGCCGCGGCGTGGGGATGCCGTCGCACCGAATGCCCTCCGAAGGTTTGGACCGCGCGTGTGTGTCGTGTCCCCCTGCCCCACCCCGCTTCACCCCGCCCCGGGCCCGACAGGGAGGGGCCCCGGGACCCGGACCCCGCCGCCCCGCGCCCTGCTCCGTGCTGCCCGCCCGCCCTTGGGAAGCCGCTGCGCCCCCGCCGGGGGACGTCATTTTCCTAAAGGCCCTGCTGCGCCCATCGGACGCGGAGAGCTCGGCTCTGCCCCATCTCCTGGAGACGAAGAGGGAACCAGAAAAATAAAAATAAGACAGAAATTAATGAATATCTGTCGCCAGATTCCCCTAGAGGCGCGCCTGCCCTGGGCCCTTCCTGCGCTGCGCCCCCAGAACCGGGACCCTGGGAGGGAGCGACAAGACGGTTCGGGCCTGGCCTTCTCCTCGGGAGTTAGACAGGGACCGGCGGAGCCAGGCCATGCCGGCAGGGCTTTCCAGGAAAGTGGGACGTGCTCGCGACAGACCTTGGGTCCCTAACGCCCCAAGTTGTGCCTTCCAGCCCAGCCCCCACCCCAGCCTGCTGCAGCCCGGAGGAAAGGAGCAGGAACTTCTGGGATCCCCTGCGCAGCCAGGCCCGGGCACAGTGGGACAGCGCCAGGGAGCAGCCAGGCATGGAGTGACCCTGGGTGGAGGGCCCCAGGAGCCCCGAGTGGGCTGTGGCGCTGAGGACACGCGTGCCGGGACCTCCCGGGCACGGGGCGGGGCACCCCCAGAGCACCGGCCCCCAGTACTGAGGTTTCCAACGGGTCCCTGGGGGAGGGGTCGGCCTGAGTTCTGGCTTGCGTGGGTGACCGTGCGGGGATTCCGCGTGGGCCTGCTGCTGTCTGCCGCCGGAGGCCGCGTTCGCTAGAAACCAGGCCGTGCGGCAGCTGGGCGGACCCGGGGCGCGGGGCCGGTGCGGAGCTGAACCGCTGAGTCACGCTCCGCACAAGGCGCGAGAGGGGTGGGGCCGGGACCGGGACCAAAACCAGGGACAGGGCCTGGGACCCAGACTACGCAGCCGGGCCCGGGGTCTGCCCTTTGTCGCCGCGCGGCGAGGTGGAGCAGATCGGCGTCTGAGGTGGGGCAGAGGAGGCCGCTGGCTGCTGGCAGGTACTGGGAGACCGGGCTCTGAGGGCCCTGGGCGGGTGCCGCTGTGCCCTGTGCCTGGGCTGTGGTCTTGGGACAGGCTGCGTTGGGCAACAGGCGGTGGCATTTTCATGCAGCCCCTTCTGTAATCCATCGCTGGCCCTCAGCAGGGCGCACCAAGGGCCTGTGGTGCCGCTACCCACCGCGTCCTTTGCTGGGCACAGGCTTCTTGAGCACCCTAGGGAGCAACCCTTGGTTTGCCTTGGGGACCTGGATTCCCTGTCCCGTGCGGCCTGCATTCTATTAAGCAGCCCTGTCCCCCCACCAGGGAGCCTGTTTCCCCATCTGTGAAATGGGCACGGGTAAGATGCTTCTGCAGCGCAGGCTGGCATTTCTGGGAGGCCCAGGGAAGAGAGGTCATGGAATGAGGCCCAGGGTGTTGCACACCCGCGGAGTGCCTGGCCCTCCCACACCAGGCTCCGGAGCCTGCACCCCGCTCTGGCCTCCCTCCACGGAATTTGCATTCTTGCTATTGTATCCTGAATGTATTTTGTGCTCCAAGTATGGGGTAGTCAAGATCCAGCCTGTGCCTGATGGACTTGTGTTAAAATTATGCCTTTGACTCCACGTGCTGTGCTGCCTCAGACAGATTACTAAACTTCTCTGGGCTCTGCTTTCTTTTTTGGGGAAGGGAGTGATCCTAAGGCTCCTTCTCGGGATTATGGAGGGGGTGGTGGTTGTGCTGATGAAGAAGGTACACCATGATGCAGGAACAGCCTATGTGGCTGGCGCTGTGAGAGTGTAGCATAACCTGGAGGAGCAGAGGACTGGTGGATGTTGAGACTCAGTTTGCCAAAAGCCGGAGAGTTCAGTTTCCTGGTTGGATGTGGTCTACTTCCTGTTCCTTAAGCAATCGAACATGTTCTTTGTGGCCTCAGGGCCTTTGCACTGGCTGCTCCCCCTGCCTGGAGCACCTTCCCTCCTCACCTACTCCCACTAATTCTTCCTGTCTCCAGTCAGAAGTTGCCTTTGCCAGTGGGAGCCCTGCTTGAGTTCCCATGGCTCTAAAATCCTGTATAACTTGAGAAGAGTTTAGGTTTGTTAGTCATTCACACCTCGGTGTGAGCTAGTACAGTATGGGCCTGGTTTTCCTTGTGCATGGTCTTGGCTAAGCTCTGCTGTACTGAAGGTGGCTGGGATCTTAGGTATAGGTTCAGGGCATGCAGAATTTGGGGATTGGGGTGAGCAGTGAAGTAGAGACTCTTATGACAGTGAGGGGTCCCAAAGAGGGGCGCCAGGGAAGAGAGGAAGCTGGGTAGCCTGGCTGCAGCCCTGGGACTCAGCTCCAGTGTGTGTGCGGTGGGCCAGTGTGTGTGAGGAGGGCACTCCAGGAGCCAGGGCCCAGGTGGATCTCAGCGTGGCCCCCAGGCAGTTTCCTCTCTGTGGTGCTGTCCTCAGTGGCATCCTGGATACTCTACTCTTTCTCTGCCCACCCCTGACCCACCCTGCAGAGGGAACTGTCCCCTGGGGCGGATGTCAAACCGGTCCCCTCTCTTCGCCTAGTGCACTGTGGTTCCTTCCCGGAAAGGGACTGCAGGCCCTGGCTAGTTCTGGTTGGTCCTGGGGTGCTGTCCTCCCTTTGTGAGGACCGGATCCAGAGTGGACGTGTGTTCTAGAGGTTGGGAAGAAAGCAGACGTCCTTCTCATAGTGTGAATGTGGAGCCCCAGTGATGCTTGGTAGCCCTCTTGGCACCATGGAGGGAGTGAGTCTTAAACTGACATTGTTGGTGGCAGGGTGGAGGGTGAAGGAGACCTGAAAGCCATGGTGACGTCTGGGCCTCACGTCCACCCTACCTCCCGGCTTCTCCTTGCACACGCGGTACACACCCTGCCACTGCACTTTGAGTCAGTTCTGTTCCTTGCGGCCAGCAGCACCCCCATTCCCTGGCCTTGAAGCAAGTCAGGAAAACACCAGGCTGCCTTTGAACCCACTGGCCAAGTGGGGACCAGGGCACCAAGGGGCTGGGGGCCACATCCTGCCCTACTCCGCGAGACTTGCCTCTTGTCCCCCTGTCCGAGTCTCCCCAGGCCTGAGTTTCCCTGGCCTTCTGTTGTCACACAGCTTGGTGATAAAGGCAGCGTGGGTCAGAGGGGCTTGCTGCTGTGGTGGCTGCCATTGGCTTCGGTCAGTTCCATTTTTCTTTTGTCTTTTTGAGACAGGGTCACGCTATGCAGTTCAGGCTGGCCTTGAGCTCACTTTGTAGCCCAGGCTGGTTTTGAACTCACAACGATCCTCTTGCCTCAGCCTCCGGAGTGCTGGGATGACAGGAGTGTGCCACCAGGCCCGGCTCTGTTTTTCTTCTTGAAAGATGAAGTGAGGTTCTAATGCAGCGTTTCTGCACCTTGCCGCGGTCTTAACCTTGCTGCAGATTTTGGTGTTCGTGCCTCAGGAGCCCAGATGCGACCTGGCCCTGGCCCTGGCAGTGTGGCTGGGGCGCGGGCTCTGGGCTGTGTGGGGGTGGGGACAGTGGCCACCGGGAGGTGGAAGCGCAGGGCCCCCCGCTGCTGGTCTCTGGGCGCCCTGTAGTTCTCCTTCCAGTCTCTTTAATGCCTGCATCTGGGGACTTGGCTCAGCAGCATAAGCGCCTGCTTGGCAAGTGTATGATCGTGAGTTTAATCCCTGGTACCGATAAAAAAAAAATCTATAATGCCTGCGTCTGTTTTTAATAAAAGCCGAAACCGCTCTTTATGTAACGTGTGTAGAAACTGCTTTTCTAATTTAGCTGGCGCGTAGGATTTTCTGGGGCTTCGCTTGCAGGCCCGGCCGTCCCACGCATCCTCACCCACGGAAAGCCCCACGCGTGGCGTGGTACCCCGCGGCTGCGTCTGGAAACGTTCCGGGAGCCGGGCCACGCTCCCTGTGCGCCCCGACCTTGCGTGCGCGGGGCGGCCTCGTCCTTTAAGGTCGTCAGTGGCTTCCGAGAAGCAGAGGCGCCCGGGAGGCGGTCGCACCCTTTCTTGCTCCAGTCAGCCCCACGGAGACTCGGGGGGACGAGGAGGAGGCGGCACCCAGGTCCTCCCCCGCTGCCTGCGGAGGGCAGAGGTTTGGAGCTGCGCTGCCCCGCAGGAAGTGGTTGAAGTGGGCTGCGTTCCCGCGGCTTCCGCAGCCCCACTCAGCTCCGGTAGGCCCCAAGTGCGACTCTGAAATATGAATTGTGCCTTGAGCGATTCTGCTTCCCGCCTCAGTGCAGGTGTCCCTGCGTGGGTCCACGAGGCCACCCCAAGAGGAGGTGGGGCCCCCACCTCGGAGTGGATTCACCCGCCCTGCCAGAGAAAAAGAATTTCCAGGCTGTGTCAGGGGAGGGATAGAAGGATTTACCAGGCAGGAAGGAAAACATGCAGAATGGTGCGGGGTGCAGGCAGGGTGAGGTGTGTTACCGTCGGGATGGGATACTGTGTGTCCCAAGGGGTGGAAATCTGCAATTTGCCGATCCATAGAAAGCTGGGCTCCATTTAATGGTGGAAGGCAGGACCCTTCCCCACTTTGGTTTTATGAGACAGGGTCTTGCTGTGTAGTTCCTGCTGGCCTTGATTCTGTGCAGCTAAGGCTGGCCTCGAACTCATGGTGATCCTCCTGCCTCAGCCTCCCGAGTGTTGGGATTACAGGCATGTGCCACCACATCCAAGGGCTCATTTTGCAGACTCTTTATATATTTAAGCGTCTTAGGGGGGAAAATTTTGGGGTAAATTTCCTAGAATGAGAGAAAATGATAGACTGGAGCACCAGTGTGCCTTGAACCTACAGCTTTCCACAAAGTGCAGTGTAGGGATTGCCCTCCCCTTTCCCC